GTGTTGGTTTGATAATAATTTTCTAATTACGGTGTACATCACATGTTTGCGTACTAATGCATTTTCACCTTTTCGTCTTGACGCGTACATTACAAACGCCATAATATTAATAGTTAAATTATTTTAATAACACGCTTAGGCAGACGCTGTTCGAACAGCCGTAAACGCTGTTTGTGTACCGCGATCGAATCGCTGGCGACCGAACCACCCTCGTTCTTGTAACGCGCGTTCGTTTCGCCGCGGCGACACCCCCGAAAAACATGACCGACGATGATACGAAGACACCGAAACGACCGTTGACGAGAAATAACGCGCGTGTCGATATCGTATCGAAAACACCGAGAAATGCACATCTCGATGATTGTAACCTAATAAAACGGTTGTTCAGAACGACGAGCGCCGATCACGCCGTGTACGGCGTTAGAGCCGGTACACACGACCGATATTTCATCGTACGTTTTATTTACCGTATATTAAAATATTATCGTACGGTATTATAAATAACATGGTTATAAATTAAGCTGTTCACGCGATCACGATAAAACGTCGTGCGGTAAGATAATCGTACGACGCCTCGAAAACCGTCGGAGACGTTTTAAACTTCTGTCCGATAAAAATATCGTGCGACCGAAATATTTCAATCAAAATGTACATAAATAAACTGATTAGGACTAACGAACGATAATATTTATCGTCTCGAAACATAGAAAGTGTTTGGTATCCATCATGTCTTCGGAGGACGAACGTGATTTTTCTAGTGGAGCCAACTCGCCAAAATCAATTGAATTCGTGGAAGACGATTTAAATATTGATATCGAGATTCTTGTCAGCGAAGTCCAAGCAAGACATTCACTTCGGGACAAGACTTTGAATAATTATTTTCTGACAGGTATTTATTTAAAAAGAGCTGCTCGGAAAGAAATCGTTATTTCATGTTACACCCAGATTACGAAAAACTATCACGAAAAAGTAAACGCTGCACGGGTTCATACCGAACACGTAATTTTGATGATATATTATGATCAGGGCTCGGGAGTTAAAGCATTTGCTTATTTTTATGGATTAACTTAAAATGTAGCGGAGTGCTATAGAAGTGTATGCCAAGTTATAACACGTACAATTATGAAATTTGAAAGTGCCTTTTTTTGCTTTTTTCAGCGATTTTTCAAAAAAATGCTTATTTCCAGCTTTTCTGATTGTTTTTGCTTATTTGACCAGTCTTTTTTATTTACATTTTTATAGCTTTCTCCTGTCAAGTCGTTTTTGATAGAATTGAAATTTAAAAATGATTCTCATCTTATCTACGTTGTCATGTGGTTCATCGCCGTCTAAGGCATCGATGTATGGTTAACAGAGATATTCCAACGTTGAAAATGGAACATCAAGAACAGAGAGAACAGTTTACATTTTATTTTTCAGAAAACGCCTTAGAAAATCTATAAAATTCTTAGAGCGTTGAAAGTGTAGATTTATTTTGATTGCGTTTGATTTTTTAGTAAGAATTTTATAGTTTTTTTTTTTTTTTAATAAATATTTTTGCTCGGTTTCAAATTTTTTAAACGCTTATTTTAGTGCTTATAACGATGTTTTTAAGCGCTTTTTTAAGTGCTTATATTTATGATTCTTAGTACTACAAGTCCCGAGCCTTGATTATGATGTACAATATATGATATAGACGACGGGGCGCCGGACGAACCCCGATTTCACCCGTCGATTCGCGCCGAGCGCGCGCACCGAAAAACCGATCATTCGCACCCGTCCGCGACCCGCTGCCGATCGGACCGCAGGGACCACCAGTCGTTCACGCAGCAGCAGTGCGGCCCGAACGGGAACAGCCGGAAGTCCATGGTCGTCGCGTCGTTCCCGTGGTCCAGTACGGCCCGGACCGTCAAACATTTCTCCGGTAACTTTTGGATCGCGTCCGTCGCGCTCTTCAAACGTTCGGGCCTCAGCGCCGCGTAACGGACCGTCATGAAAACGGCGAACCACACCTTCATCGCGTCGGACGCGCAGCGGATCAACTCCGGCCACCGGTTTTCCACCTGAAGCCGAATCCAGCGGCCGAACTCCAACACGTTTTCCACGGTTATCACTTCTCTCGCGCTCGGTCGCCGCGAACCGTCCCGACCGTCGTCGTCGTCGTCCCGACAACCGGTCCCGGTCTGGCGGCGGTGGTGGTGGTCTTCGTTCACGGCGTTCGGATCGATCGTCGACTCGCAGTTCTCGTCGGACAACGACGTCCGATCCGAGCCCGTCGCGCGCCAAACGGCCTTCATCAAGCTCACGATCTGCGCGTTGATTTCGTCCGCGTCCCGACGACACGGTCCCGACCCGGTGTCGGACTGGCCGCGCGCGACCAACGGTTTTTCCAGCCACGAGATCGCGCGACCGAGCGCGACCCGTTCGGTCCGGTACGCGTTGTCCGTCGCGCTTTTCAACTGTTGCGCCGTCACCAGGCACCGACGAAAGTCGTTCAACTTGTTTTCGCTAAACAACATATTTTCCGTTTCATCGATTCTCGCCATCGTCACTTGTACTTTTTGGCTGGGAGACATGTTTTCGATGTTCAACACTTGTACGGCTGGTTCGGGTTCCTCCACGGGTTCGTCGCTGGCCGGTCCGTTTTGCTCTTGCAAATCTCGTTTGATCAATTTTGAGATCGGATAAAACAATGCGACCGCTACAAAGGCGTATTCCAAAAGCTCGGTTGCCATTAAAACCGTTGGAAAATTTTGTGTCCGCAATTTTTAAGATTGTACTAGAAATTTTAATGTTTCATTTCAATGTTAATGTGGACAGTTTTAAAATAAAACCATAGTGATAAAATCGTAACTGTTGCTACCCGTGTGACGTGAGAACTTCATAGAACGTTTGTACCGCAATAATAGCCAATAGTTTTAAGTTATAATATGTACTTGCATTAAAAATGTAAAATATATTTGTGTTTATTTGTTAACCGAATTCAGGTCTAACCTTAAGGGGAATGTGCTTTTATGTAGTCGTAAAAGTGCTATGTAAACGTAACGTTTCGCAGACGAAATCTGCAGAGTGTATTGCGAATATAAATCAATGCTTGCTAAATGCACTGCATGCAATCGTACACTATGTATAAAAAAAATATGCTCAATACCTTGAAAAATAAAAATTAAAGAACCGATACAGAATACAACTTACTTGTAAAGCGTGCAAAAAATTATAGGATATAAATTATAATTAAAATTTTTAATTAACTTATAGTTATTACTAGGGACCGGATTTATATGGAAATGCATATATGTATGGAAATAAACTTTTTGAAATCTGATGAGTGTTGTCCCCGATTTAGATCTTTCTTATTAAAATAACACTAATTTTACCTTGCATATTTTGCATATTTCAACGTTTTGACCTATAAAATGCATATTTGTAGTTTTATAGTGCATATTATTATTAATAACACATATATTTGTTTTTGTCGTCATTTCACGTTCACAGCCCCATGATATCGATAAAATTGCGGCCGAATACACTGGGTTGCCGAAGAAATAAAAAATCAATTTCCTCGAGTTGATAAACTCATTTCTGACGTCAAAAAAGTTTTTTAAAAGCTTCATACGCGTACGACACTTTTCTGAAATATGGTCCCTAATCTAACACTTCCACCACAACCATATTAACGTGTTGGGATACATGGATAAATGCAGCCTTTTATTATTGTGACAACTTGGAAATTATTAAAGAAATAATTCTTCAGTTGAACAGTTAGCATTGAAGACTCTATTTCAATTAAAAAAATCATTAGATTTGATAAAAGATCCTAATTTGAAAGCTAATTTAATTTACATTAAATCAAATTTTGAAATAATTCAGAGCACTATAAAAATATTAGAATCAAAAGATTACTTATTATCAGAAGCCATGATCAAAATTAAAAACGCAAAAACCACATTAAAAAAAATCAAAAAACGTAATTGGTGGTATTATAAATGCCAAACTTTTTTACATTTATAATATATTTCACGTATTTGTACATCATTTTAAACAACATTTTAAGTGAATATTTAAGTACATATTTTAAAGCATATTACAGCATTTTTAAAAGCATATTTTGAGGGTTTTGTGCATATAAATCTGGTCCCTAGTTATTATCATAGGTGTGCGTATGGGGAGGAGGTGTCAGATGTACTTGGCCATCACTAACATTTTGTAAACGGGGCCCTACAATTTAAGTCTAAGAGTAAGGAGCCCATATTTTAACTGATGTTGCTCTAATTAAATGTTATTATTCTAAAATATGTGGCAAAAAATAATAGATGTTTCATAATAAAAAAATAAAACGAAAGGCTTCAAGTTTTCGTGCAAAACCTTCTTGTGATAATTTAAGTTACAATTGACTACAAAAGTACAAATCATAAATAATTGAAAGTATCTGAGAAAAATATTCGAGACTCGAGGAAAATATAGTACGAGTATATTAACTAGAATCAATGTAACACAGCAATAAATAAAAAATTAAAGTTATGTTTATCGAATCATTATTACATTATAATTTCTTAAATATACCATGACGTTTAGTTAAGATAGGACACTCCCTGAAATACGGATCTGCGCACGCTTATGCTAATAGGTTGCTAATTAGATGGTTCAATTGACTATTATAAATGTTTATCGATTTTACATTCTTATATAATTTTTATATTAAATGACGATATGAAAAATATCAAGTAATGATATTATAGATATTATATTGATTATAGATTTCCAGGAAGGCGTCATAGTCGTAACACACAACCTGTACCAAGGATGTTAGTCGTACGTTTCCATATTTTAATACTTGTATGTAATAAATAATAATAATAATAAAACACATTTTCCCGTTCGGCCTAATGACAAATCATTCTATCACGATCAAACCGGGGAAGAATGTAATTAAAATATTTATATAAATATATTATAAATCGAAAAAATATATATTACAATAGACATCTAAACTCTGGCAGACGTGCAATCGAGTTGGCCGCTAGCAGTCGTGTTTGTTCGGAGATCTTTACGCTGATCTCGTTGAAACATATGTCATCGAAAGATTATTAATTATTATCATTATTTTTAGAGCCGTTGTGTTTTCATAGTAATATTGTATTCGTTATTGTTTTCGCGTGCTCTTGTGTTTTGAATACCTATTAGACGGTAGTTTCACGATGTTGAAACGTATTTTATGGTGTTTGGTCCTTGCGTGTTCCGCAGTCGATTCGTATTCCTCAAATCGGACTAGAGACGGTAAGAGATGATACGACTTTCAACGTAAGTCGCGTGATGTGTATAATTCTGCAGGAGTGTGTTTTTCAAGGGGCGCGGGAACACATGACTATTATTCGTTGATCTTGTAAACAATCGCTTGTACACTTTTAGCCGTTGAATTGCTAAGCGTTTAAAGTGCTTGATGGGATAATGTTTTTCACTTTGCATTGAAAATAGAAGATAGAGTATATCCTGATATATCCTGCAGGTGACGTACTGAAAAAAACGGGCAAATAATAAATACCTGTGCCCCTTCGAAAAAATAATCTTAAACCGCGCTTCCGGTTACAATTATCGAAATGAATTCACCCAGTAAAATCGAATTTTTCATAAACCTTGAACAATCGTAAAACTGTGCACATGATTGACATACTAGTATCCGTTCGTTTTACAGTAGTTATAAGTGTTCGGAATTGTATTATTGTCTTAGACGACTTGTGCAAGGTGATCACCAAAACCGACGACGATTACATGTGTAAGCCGATCGACCAATGTCCCGAGGTTCTTCGTGATGCCGAAAATCGAGTCGCATACCCGAAGATGTGCAGATTTCAAGGAAGAACACCAATAGTGTGTTGTCCGATTTCCCGAGAAGTATCTAGCCAAAAGGCCACCGAAAGTCAGTACATTTACGTGATGTAAAATAAGAAATTATTATAATAATAAATAATATATTATTATATATTTATTTGGTTTGATTGGATAGTATATTAACTGAAAATAAATTTAAAATAACCATAAATACCTAATTTAATTTTTAATCTTTACTCCGCGAGTATAATAAACGTACAACTTACAAAATTTATAATATTTTTTGTATTATACGTTGTTACATAAAGCACAAGTGGTCCTCGCGCACTTCGTTGTCCGTAAAAATGTAGCATCTTGTATTACTCGAACTTTATTCACTTGGTTATTTGATACTATGCGTAATGATTTTCAAAACTTTCTTTTAAAAAAATGTATTACTTATTTCATTATATTTCTTGGTCTTAACGTAGCTTAACATTTTTATTCGTTCGTTTTAGAAAATGACTATTATTATATTAATACTGTGTTTGGAACACAACGAAACATAGATCTTGTATAAGCGTCAAATGGACAACTTTTTACTAGAATAAAGTCGTAAAGATCAAAAATTGTTTACAGTTTATGCGATACGACCAATGCAGTGGCGCAACTATAATTCAAATCTTGGGGTGTTACAATAGTTAAACCTTAAAATAGCAGGGAGCTTTCTCTTCAATTACAAATACAAGGAACTTGGGGTGCTTCAGCACCTCATAGCACCCTCGTAGTTGCGCCACTGGACCAGTGGCGCTATGCGTAGGTATTGCGGATGTATTACCTAATTTTGGGGGGTGATCCCGTGGTGGACAATGTTATACTGGTACATGGATGTACAAGTTATAGAAATTTGGATTTTGAATTTAAAACTGTTGCAAAATTGCATTTCTAACTCAGTATACTTAACATTTATTGTAGTTAAATTATACAAGATTTTGTTTTTACGTAATACCATATGAAACAGATATCTGGCGCCACTGGTTACGACGAAAAATGATGCTGAGTGTTTCATATACGCTCGCCATTAAGACGAAAAATTAATGCAGGATATAGATTAGAATTATTATATTTGTTGCGGTCGTTATCACATATTTCAACGTCCAGATGAGCGTGACCGACATTCAGTCCTCAACTGTTCTGAAAATCAAAAAAAAGTCATCTGCCGCATACCTCGCGTAAACGTACATAATACCTCAGATATAATTATATACACGACTCGATATATATTTTATTATATATGTTATTATAAAACCGATTGAATACAGTGTTCTATCGATGTTAAAGAATGCAGAGAATACTATTCGTTGATCACAAGTGGTGGTGGAACGATCGACTTCGTGGGTAGTTGTCGCGCGAAAACGGCGAAGACCCGCGAGACGAATCGTCTTAAGATTGTCGGCGGGACGATGGCCGAAGAAAGCGAATTTCCTCATATGGCGAGTATATCCATTTATATAATTATATGTATTTTATTCTATATCCTATTTAAATCTGGTCTCGACTTTGAAAATTTGATCACTGGATCCCGCGAATTTTTTTTTTTTTTTTTTTAAGGAAAGAGAGGAAGGGATATTATTATTAAACTTTACGGAATGCAACGGCTGCGTGTTTAACTGTTAAGCCACTGGTTCGACCCCGCAGTTACTGGACGTTCACGAAGTTAGCACAACCGAGTCGACGGATCCACACGGAACTAATGTTAATATTTCGTAAATTATGTTTGCGAACCATCGCGAATTAATTCTTAAAATTTACAAATCACCCCAGAATAAATAATTTTCGTTGGGAAGGGAACTAACTTCACGTAGCCCCACCTAGTTGACCGATCAAGACTACCAAGACTATATAGATTTAATTAGCAAATTGTAAACACAAGTTTGCAAAATATTAACAATGGATCCGAGTTAACCTGATGTTAACTTGATGTGGCTAACGAAATTTCGCATACAATTAATAACAAATAACAATTATTGTAATATTAGCGGGACAACTTTAACAATTAACTCCGAGCAGATGCACTATACTCGTATTGTGTACAAATATCGAATAACGATTTACCGCCTGTTGACATTTAATATGACGCACACGATGATTTAGCTTTGAACACTATTTTGTAGGTCATTTTAGGATTTGGAGAACGTGTTAAAAATGTCGAATGGTCTTGCGGTGGATCCCTGATCAGCGACCGATATGTACTTTCTGCTGCCCATTGTTCCGAAACAGGAAAGAGGTAATAATTCTTACGCTCATCTCGCGTACGCGATCGGTTCATTTTATAAGAAGAAATGTTCCAAAAAAAGAAAAGCGGAATTTTTAAAAGTTTATTTTGCTGCTCCAAGTGACTTAAGTGACCTAAGCTGTTAGGTCTAACCTAACCTGTACCTATCATGACTGACGCTGATCGCAACCGGCTAAACATCATTGTGAATCAATTGCGTCGAACGATAATATAATTCGTAGGTTTCTCTATACGTTTGTCCACAGTATCCTACTGATTTTTCAGAGGTCCACTGAAATGGGCGCTATTGGGTGACACTGACATAGGATCGGACGTCGAGGAAACGGATCCTCAGATTCGCGAAATCGTCCAGCGAATTGTGCATCCAAATTACGAACCGCCGTCGGTGTACAATGACATCGGTCTTTTTAGACTGAACGCGCCGGTGCAATTCAACCGATTCATCTTGCCGATCTGCCTGAACACCGAAACGCAATTAACTACCGAACAAAACCTCATTGCAATCGGCTGGGGCAGAACTGGTCCAGGTATATTATTGTTATTGTTAAATGTGGAATGAAAAATAAAACCCACATTTAATACAGCGTATCAAATTCGCATCACCGTAAAACGGTTTACCAAAGATTTTCGTACGTTTTTCAATTTCGATCCGGATCTGGATATTCGTACTAGTACATATAGTTTTTAAAATTTGTATTGAACGCATTCAATTAGACAGCAAATCATAGATGATATTATTCAAACACGATTAATATTATCATTATAGTATACATTTACTCGCACGAAAAATTACAAGGTTTTTCAAAACACATAAATATTATACTTTTACTTTTACGTGTTTTAAATATATGTATATTCACATAAGGTTAAATTTAATTATTTTGTATAAATATAGTAAGAGATTTTCATGTTCATTATTTCAGTGGATTCTGTGTTCTTGATTTATTTAAGGTTAATTCATTATTAGGTATTTGAAAGTTAATAAACATATAATGACTACTGTTAGCCGACTAATAATTTATTTTTATTTATTTTTTTACTAAACATTTCAGCTAGTCCAATAAGTAATATTCTGATGAAAGTTTCGTTAGATTTGGTGGATCAGAACGAATGCAATCGTAGTTTTTTTTTACCTAAAAGTAAAAGATTGGCTATTGGAATAAATCTAACTAGTCAAATATGTGCTGGAAAAACGGAAGGTGGCAAAGATACCTGTCAGGTACAAAGGCATAAATAATATAATTAGTACACAAAAAGTTTAGTGAGTGTTTACAGTTTTTAACGAAATCAATAAAATTTAATTCATCCCACCAATTTTTTTAAACACATTTTTAAGATAATATGATCAATGAAATGTTCACGTTTATAAATTAAATTAATTTTATCATTTTTTTCCCCCCATAATATATGAGTATATATTTATATGTATATTATATTATATATATATATATATGATATTTAATTATACATCCTATTGTTGTAGAAAATCCAGTTGAGTCGATATTTCGGTAGGTAATTTCAAATTAACAAGCATTATGAAATTATTAAATTGTCAAGATTTAGATTTAATATTATTTGATTTTACTATTTGAAATCGTATGACTTTCCAGTCGCTCTTCCTGTTCTTTCGTTCAATTTTAACGTTATTGGCTATTATACTTCAATAGATAAACTTAGACATTTTCAAATACAATAGATATTTCTATTTAATATAATATTAAAATGTTTCATTTGTTTAGGGCGATTCCGGTGGACCACTACAGATCATTCATCCTGAATTCAAGTGCATGTACTCGCAAGTGGCTATCACGTCGTTTGGGAAAATTTGTGGAGAACCAAATGGACCCGGTGTCTATACAAGAGTTTCACATTACTTATCTTGGATCGAAAGTATCGTTTGGCCGTCTTCGTGATGCCATTTTAGGTTTGCAGACATGCGCATGCTTTGGTTAGGTTGAGCCTGAAATAATCTGTATATATATAAACTCGGACAAAACTCCCATTGTCTGTATACATTTGTAAAAAATAAATAAATATTACATCGAAAAATTTATCATCTTCGAGTATATTTTGAAAGTTATTTACAGTTAGATGTTTGATTATTAAAGGAAAAAGTCTAAACAGGACTCATTTTCCAATTTCAAAATTCTTACAAAGGGGGATTATTTTGACTATAATTAGTTCGATGGGTTTTGATATGAAAAGAAGGGTAATGCAAAATTTATCTAGATAAAGATGAAAGATAATATGTCCAAATTCATGTAGATAAAGATAATAGATAAAAAAAATTAAAATATCTATATAAAGAAAAAAGATAATTTCATTTTTATCTAGATAAAAAAAAAGATATTTTCAAAAATTTTTATTTTTTGGTCAATATTTCATATTCCAATAATATCTAAGAAGACTCAATTATAATCATTATTATCAATAGGTACCTAGGTGTTTAATGTTTATTGTAGTAATGTTGTGCACCATTAAGCAGTATTTATATATAATGTACAATATTTAATGATAGTTAATCACTAAAATGTTACACAAAAAAAAAAAAACAATGAAAATTGCTCTGTACATATCAAAATGAATACAGAATACATAAGAAATTATTTTAAGTTAACAATATTGTTTTCCATATAATCTTGATTTGATGATTTTCATTATTTTATAAGTAATTACGACTTTATGGGTTCCAAGAGTGATGTATTGATTATTTAGCGTATGAATTACATGTGTTTACTAAAATCATATTCCCTACTTCCATGGAAAAATAAGAAATTAAGTTTCAAAATACCAAAAATATTTTCCCGGCATGAAAATACAAACAAAATATCATACCAAGAAATAATAATTACTTATTAATAATACACGAATCATGATTATAAATACAAAATCTATATATATATATATATATATATATATATATAAAAGAAAGTCGGGATAGTTACAGAATTTATAATTCAAGAACAACTGGATCGATTTTTATAATCTCTGATTTGTTGGATTCGTCTCCGTATAAGAATAAAAAAACTCTAATCTTGGCAAGAATACAGACAATTATCTAGATAAGTAAGAATTTTATGTTAGATAAGTAATTAGATAACTTAGCGTTGTTTATCTAGATAAGATAAAAGATGACAAAAAAATCTATCTTGATAAGTACCAACACTGATTGTGGTACGTAGAAAGGAACACGTTATAGTAAAGGGGAACATGTTATTGAGCCATTTATTACTTTAGAAAGAAAGGTAATGTCGGCATTTTTTCTACGTGCGTGTAAAGATTTTAGATTGAGATTATATAAAAATCATTAGATTTTTTTTTTGTTTTTCTAACCAATATAGCGTAAAAATCTTTTTTGTTCTATGTCTAACTTTTCAATTAGACGTGTAGAAAAGGGGCACCGTATTGTCGATCCATATTCTAATAAAAGACAAACCAAAGCACAATGAAGGATTTTTAAATAACGTATATCATTGAAGGTTGAAGTAGATATAATTAAGAATTCTAACATTATTATAGTTTTTTAACTTATTTGATCTATATGACAAGAAAACATGAGATTGGATTGATAGACAATACTAACATCAAGGACATACTCAACCTCAGGCAAAGGAAAATTATCAATATTATAGTTAAAGTTTAATTTGTTTATTGTTCGATAGTACGATATTTTTAAAACATTAAGATTTTACTTATTAGCACACCATTTCGTTTAATTATTTGAATCGTTTTTGAGATGAAGATATAATAAATGTTGTACGCGTTCCGTTACACTTTTGTGTACGGAGCAAACTGCAAAAGAAAAAAAAAAGAAAATAACACGTTCGTGAGATACGCGCGTTATACGATAGTCGATGCGATGGTATTGGCCTCGTTGAAAATGGCAATAAATACATGTATAAATTCCCGACGCGAGTACAAATTTGCGAAAATGTGACGCAATTATCGTGCTTTTCGTCGTTATAATTATTATGCCGCGTAACATGATGTGACCTACTGTGTGTACGCATTATATTGTAATGTAGGCACACACAGACGCAGACGATCTTAATCGTGAAACGCGATTACGATCGGTTTTTTTTTCTTCTCGTTTCATTTTTCGATTCATCACCGCGTACAATTTCAAAAAAAGATAAATATTATAATAATAATAATAATAATAACAAATAACAAACAATAACGAACGAACCTATAACGCAATCGTGCACAATATCTTGTAGCTATCATTACATGTGCACGGGCTGGCAGCGGATATTGTTGCGGCGGTCCTGCGGCGGGACGTGTTGGGTACATAATGTACGTCCGTGGGCACACGCAAGCGAGCGTAACTTTATGTTCGAGCGCGCGAAACAAAAACCGTCGGACCCGATGGTCTCGTTCAAAATTATTTTCGTATGTCATAACGTTATATTGTATTTGCATACAATGGTCCCTCGCCCGTTGTCTGCATCGAGTACAATTTTAATAACAATAGCGATGATAATACGGGCGCGTACGATCATTACTACATATCATTTGTTACCAATATTATACATAATAGTATACAGGGTGTTTTATTTTCGAACACTCGTTTTTCCGGCCTGTTTAATGTTTTTTTTTTCTTTTTTTCTCTTCGAACAAAAATTATATTCATAATACGTTATGTCATTAGTAATGGGTCACTCATTAGTATGTATGTAGGTACACACACACACACACACACATATATATATAAATACAAATAATAATTAAGATGTCTACACCCATTGCCGTATCGGTATAATGTTTGTGTTATAATAATATTGTTATTTGCTTACCATACCCTATAATGTTTGGTATCCAAGTTATCCAACTATATACCCACCAACCCACCCATACACCCACCACCATTAGAGCACATGCAGTTGCACCCTTGGTAACCTGTCTAGACGCCACTGCATCGATTCTGACACTGGGGAATGGAGGATACGCTACAATGAAGAACTCATTTCACAGTACAGATTTTACAAGAAAAAGATTAATGTGGACTATGCATGTTTGAAGGAAAGAGGGTTCGTTTATCATGGCGGCTATTGAAGACAATCCGATTGGGAAAAGGCCGTTAGGTAGACCGACGATACGATGGGAAGATCGAATCAAAAAAAGATGTTAAAGCAGTAGAACCGAATGCACAAAGGAGAGAAGTTGTAGAGGATAGAAAAAGATAGCGGCAAATTTTTTTCCAGGGATGGTCTTGAAGGTCGAAATCTACAAGAAGAAGATATATAGGTACACAGCATTTTCTCTGCACTATTATTCTACGATAATTAAAGCTTTTATTCTTTTTTTTTTAAATAGCAATATGTGTATTCAATTTTTGTTTTCCAAGGCAAAGATTGTTTTTTGAAAATTAAAAATCTAAAAAATTGAAAATGGAACCAGTAGTAAAAATTTAATCATTGTTATAGTTTATAAACATTTAAAGTTTAGATGAATCTAATAGTAAGTACGCCCCTATAAATGTCGAGTATCCCCTGCCATTCCAGCTCACTTTGTATAACTAAACGTTAAACATTGACAAATAATTGATTACTGATTTATTAGTTGGTTTTCAAGAAGAATACAATATTTTTCCCCAAAATATGAAATTAACAATGGGCATGGCTCAAGGGGTAGGCGACATAGGCCCACGCCTAGGGCGGCATTTTTTCCTGGACAATTTTTATGTATAAAAAAAAATATTTGATAAAATATTTACACGTAAGAGGCGGAAAAAACTAAATTTCGCCTGTTTGTTTAAACACTTGAGCCGGGCCTGATGAAAACGCATATTATTGCTGCTCATTCGAAATTAAACGCTTAAGAATGATTATCGAATAGAAATTAACATTTAAAATAACATTTTTTTTTCTTCAAAAACTTAAACATTGATAGTGAAAATAAATGGTTTCTCGATCAAATAATCACCCGATATGTATTCGCGTTCTACTGCATATGTAAGTACCTTATGTATTATAGTTACATACGACTACGTATGTGTACAGCTCACTATATTAATATACACGTATTGTATTCGTATATTATGTGCGTTGTTTTAATGGCGACATGATACAACAAATCGCGCGGCGCGTGGATATTATGACGCTGCGAGAAAAGGGAGAAGGATCAAGGAAAGAAGGAGGAGGTTACGCACGTTATTTTCAAATATTTATTACGTGACGTCAATATACACTTGCTACATCATTAGACGCATCGTTGCTTCTGGGCCCGGCGCGGTTTCATTATTATTTTTTAGAACGCCGAGTCTTTTGTATATTCATAAATAAACAGACGCGGATTTGTGGGAACTATTCTTGAGTTATCGAGGAAAACATTTTTCTCCTCCCTTCCAAAATTATCGGATTATCACTTTCTAATCACGAACGCTTAAAATTAAAAAAATTAAATTAAATTTTTAATTAAAATTAAAATTAACATTAAATTTTACTTTTTTGTAATTATTTGATATTCGCTTGACAAATTTATAACGTCATATTTTACTATTTTCATAGTCTATAATAGGCCCGGGTTAAGAGTTACGCGACATAGGCCAACGCCTAAGGTGGCATTTAATATTTTTATGCTATAGTTAATTTTTGAAAAAAAATATCACAGTTCCTAGTACCTACTCATGTCAAATTATGCGTAGTAATAAATAAGTCTGTATACATTGTTTTGTTTTATTGAAATTAGTAGTGGCTTACTTGTTTACCAATGTATTCATCTAATCAATTTTTAACTTAACACAAATAAATATAATAGACTCAGAATTGAATCTATTATAGTATTGCATATGTAAAAAAAATATTTGATGTAATATTTACATACAAGAGGTGGCAAAACTTTAGTTTGACTATGTGTGATTAAATATTTGAGTCTGGTCTGATCTTCAATGTAAGCTTTATTTCGTCATTGCCGTTCCATATTTTTTATTACGAGGTGTTTTTAAAATGTTGGGACTTCTAATTGTTATGTATGCATCTGTCTGAACTTCATTAATAAGAAAAGCTAAACA